CATCCCAAATGCCCCCATTGCTCGAGGAGGACAGGAGGAGGGGGGAGGAGGAGTAGGAGTAGGAGTAGGAGTAGGAGTAGGAGTAGGAGTAGGAGTAGGAGTAGGAGTAGGAGTAGGAGTAGTAGTAGTAGTAGTAGTAGGAGGAGGAGGAGGAGGAGGAGGAGGAGGAGGAGGAGGAGGAGGAGGACAAGCTAGGTGCGCGCGCGTCATATCTGACGTCCTACCCCTCCCTCCCATCCCTTACCATGGCGCTGATTTTCTCTATCCGCGGACTAGTGGGTGGTGGTGCGCGTGCGTGCGTGCGTGCGTGTGTGCGTGGTTGTGTGGTGGTGGTGGTGGTGGTGGTGGTGGTGGTGGTGGTGGTGGTGGTGGTGGTGGTGGTGGTGGTGGTGTGTGTGTGTGTGTGCGTGTGTGCGCGTGTGCTGTGGCATGGCACGGGAAACGACGCCAGCGCTGCAGCGGGAGCACGAGTCGAAACGGGCGGAAGCGCGGAAATGAGGCCAGCGCTGCAGCGGGAGCACGATTCGGAACGAGCGGAAGCACTGAAATGAGGCCAGCGCTGCAGCGGAAGCACGATTCGGAACGAGCGGGGCCCGAAAACGAGGCCGGCGCCTCGGCGAGAGCAGCATTTTGAAACAAAATGCAGGCGAAAACCCAACTCCCGGGAATCCTGTGTAAAAAACAGGATGCGGGGGGGTTGGTAACTTTCAGGCCGCCATCGGGGGAAGAGGGAGAGTAGTATTCATATTGAGTAATTGTGGAGGGGAATGCCCGATGCCAAAGTCCACAGCGCGATGGAATTGTCGGCCGCGCGGCGGTGGGAGCTCGCGCGGTCTGCCGCCCACTGGCCGCGAGAGCGCCCCGCCGCGGCGGGCGTCGCCCGAGACGCGCGGCCCAACGTCTGGGCGCTGTCTGCTGGGTCCCCCCCGACCATCTGGACGCCCGAAATGGGTACGGAAAGAATGGGCACAATGCCAAACCAGCAAATGTTGTCCCAAACCAACAGCGGCCGCTGTTGTGCAGGGGGCCATCCGTCTCGAATGGACACAGGCCGCGGCGGCGTGCACAGCGAATCCTGTTCAAAATGAGCAGGAACTGCTGTTGGGCACTGCACCCATTCTCTCCGTGCCCATGTCGGGCGTCCAGAGGCCAGCCCAGATTCGCCCGACGGCGACGAATCTGCCTCTCGACATTGCGGGGGGTCGCCTCCCGGAAAGCTGGCATCTGCTTGTTGCCCCTGGCCCTCGCCTGTCGCCCGCCCCTGTCCGCCGCCCCCCCCCCTCTCCGACGCCCTGCTGCGCGCGGCGATTCTGCCGACGGTGGCGAAACCTCGATCGAGCCACTCGTTGTCCACCTCCACTACAGTGCGGGCGCAGCCGCAAGAAACCCTCGCAAGAAACCCAACCCTGAAAACCCGCGCGCGAAGTGCACCGGAGGGGAAACCTGGATCACCCTGAACGCAGCAGCTCCTTCAACGGCCGCGGGAAGTCGCCGCGCAGCGCGCGGAGCGAAGAAACCCAGGATACCCTGACGAAAACTAGATGGTTTCTTGATGCGCGCCCACACTGTAGAGCGCGCGACTCCACGCCGCCCCAAATCGCATGTGAAGAGAAACCCATGAATGACACTCGCTTCCCGTGGTGCGGCAAGGGCAACTGCCGGGCGCCACCTGGACTGCAAAACGTGCTCCTGGCGGCGACGAGGCGCTGCCCGATCTTGCGAGCGGCTGCTTCGCGCTGCGCGCGGAACGGGCCTACATGGCGAGTGTCATCCTTGGGGGGCGTTCGAGGGGAAGCGGGTTATTTCTGTGCCGGCGTTTTAACAAGCGCGAGTCAATCTCGAAACATGGTAAAATATTGCTTTTCATGTCCTGACCGAAATCGAAGAGGCCAAACCTTCATTTAAGACCCCGCCGGCGAATCGGATCTTGCCAAGGAGCTCCTTTAGCGCAGCTCCGAAGCCAGCAAGGATAACTTTATCCAGATCATGGGCGTTCTTGATCAACGAGAGGTCTGAGCTGATGTCGCTCCGGCTCCGACTCAAGAGCTCTCGTCCCCGCCCCAAGACTGGCCTCGAGAAAGCGGCAAAACGCATGGCTGCGATGCGCGGGTCATCCATCGTGACGCCTTGCGTATGCTGCACCGCGCAACGAGCGCCGCCCGTCGGCAACCCCTATCGCCCAATGGCGATGACGTTGACGACGCATTGCAACATCGTGGCCCTCACAGTGTATGACTACTGTGATATCCGTGGGCTCGTGCGTGCCACTCGCACAAGCATTCGGCATATTTTCGAGCGTGCACAGGGTGGCGTAGGAGCCGCTCGTGATCTCGACATCGTACACTTAGAAATAATCGCTGCGCTTTCTCGTCGTCGCCCTCGGCTGTGAACCGCGGGGCTTGGCTTCGGCTTCTTCGAATAATACCCTTCCATTGCCGTCGGTAGCACGCGCAACGCTCTCACCCACAAGGCCAACCAACAACGACTTCGGACGTGCCGCGGCCTGGCGTCGGCGCCGCTGCAAAGGGGTCACAATCTCATAAGGTCCTGATCATCGGGAGTCCAACGCGCACGGAGAACCACAAAAATTTGCTCCCAAGGGAACCCTCGCTCGCGCCCAAACCCGGGCCCCTGCTGCGCCCGCCACTTCGGGTAGAGACACCCGTGCCATAGCTCGAACGAGGCTGCGCCGTCAGGGACCGCGCTCCTCCTGGGCGCATTCCTAAGGTGACATCGCACATGTCCGAGGAGGTGAGTTCAAGATCGTCGGACTCGCGCTCGTACGTCTCTCCCTCTCTCTGTCCCCCACTCCTCCCAGACGATCGGTTTAACCTGCATGCCGCCCTCCTCCATGACAGGTTTCTGCCAGGCGCGAAGCCATTCGTCTGCATCAGGAAGCGCCCCTGTGGCCAATCGTGCACCCTGAAACTTCGGCCCAAACCGACAGCGAGCAGCGCGACGGGAGGCTTTCATCTCCGCCGCAATGCGTATCCTGACCCAACAGTCGATAACTTCCTGAGGCAATCTGGCATGATGCCGTCACATGTGTTGCCGTCGTTCCTTCTGGACCTGGGACGAAAAAGTCCTCAGGTGAGCGTCGATCAACACAGCCCGCTCCTCGTCCTCGTCCTCGTCCTCCTCCTGTCAAAAAGCTCGATTCGCCCAAAAAGCAGGTTGCGGCGGTGCTCACAATCTTCCCTCACGACGGTTTAACGTTGCTGAGGCCCCGAGAGTTTCGACAGTCCCGCTTGGACCAAAGCAACTTACAAAGTCTCGCCAGCCCCCCGAATTTTCGTATTGCCCGAACGAATCAAATCCCATCTTCCCCTGCCTGACCGAACCCTCTCGATCATGGCATCGAAATTCCACGGGTCCCTCATCAACAAGGCGGCTTAAGCCGCCTTCATCCAATGCAATACTCAAACGATAGGTAGGTGGCTCCTGAATGGCTCCCCGAACGGGCTGAAACTTGACTGCCCAACGTCGTAATGGATGACAACGACAAGCGAGATGTGCCAAACCTTGAGAATAACATAAATAATGAACATGCATTGAAAATTTATTGACGAAGAAAGGGTGCTCGGCTAGCTGCCGGAAACTACTCGCTAGCATGTGATGTTTGTTCCCAGTGCTCCAAGGAGACGCTCCAGAGTAGCAACGCTGACCGCACTCGTCGGGATCGCCTCAAAGGCTCCATTCGTATGACGCCCTCCCATAATGTTAATCACATCGGAGCAGAAGATCGTGACGCAGCGGGCGGGTACATGACAGAGAACTGAATCCAACTACTCCTCCAGGACTGACACCGTTTTGAGGTAGCGAGACCGAGCGGCCGTGCTTCCTTTAGTGGGGATAGGTGTAACATAAATACAGATAGCGCTGGTATCAGCAGGGCACAGCGGCCATGCTTAACACGAACAGCGAGGGCTCGACCCCCCCTCCCACGAATTGAGGCCTCCCCCGAAAATACGTTCGATTCCTTTCTCGATCAAGTGGGGGCGCCGCGCTATCATCATCCCGCAGTGGGGGGAAGGAAACGTAACCGCTGCCTGGTGGGGGGCCTCGAAAACCAGCCTGCCGCCGCGCCGCCCCCGCAACGCCTGGGCGCAGCGCAGCAAGAAACAATACATCGAACATGTAAGTTCCGTTTAAGATTTCCGAAAACCTAACTCCCGTAGCAAACATGGGCCTGTAGCCCAGGACCCGAAGAAGTGCGGACATGCGAATAACCACACCGACACCCATCCGATCGCAAGACGAGACAAAGAGTACTGGCTGAAAACCAAGGTTCAGGACCGAGGTCAGACCAGCCCTGGTCGGCCGTGCGCCTGTGACATATTGAGCTTAGGAGGAAGAGGGGGAGGAGGTGGAGGAGGAGGAGGAGGAGGAAGAGGAGGATGAGAAGGAGGAGGAGGAGGCGGAGGAGGAGGAAGAGAAGGAGAAGGAGGAGGAACAGGAGGAAAAGAGGAGGAGGACGAAGACGAGGAAAAGGACGAGGAGGGGAAGAACGAGGAAATGGAGAAGGAGGAGGCAGAGGAGGGAGGAAGAGGAGGAGGAGGCGGGAGAAAAGGAGGACGAGGGAGAAGAGGAGGAGAGGAGAAGAAGGAGGAGGAGGAGGAAGGAGGAGAGGAGGAGGACAAAGAGGACAGAGGAGGGGGGAGGAGGAGGAGGGGGAGGAGGAGGAGGAGGAGGCAGGAGAGGGAGAAAGGAGGAGGAGGAGGAGGAGGAGGAGGGAGGAGGAAGGAAAAAGGAGGAGGAGGAGGGGGGGAGGAGGGGAGGAGAGAGGAGGGAGGAGGGGAGGGAGGAGGGAGGAGAACGGAGGAAGGAGGAGGAGGACGATGACTAGGAGGAGGGAGAGGACCAGGAGGAGGAGGAGGAAGAGGAAGAGGAGGGAGGATGGAGGAGCAGAAGGGGAATGAGAACGAAGAGGGTCAATACAAAGCCAGGGTGGCGCCGCGGATCGTTTCCCTACCCAAAGCCCGTCGCGCCGCGCCACGCTCCTGCCGACTCTGTTCGCGGAGAGCTAGTACCTACCGGGGGGGAGGAAGAGGAGGAAGACGAGGAGGAGGTGGAAGAGGAGGAGGAGGAGGAGGAGGAAAAGGAGGAAGAGGAAGAGGAAGAACACGTCCGCTGCTTCCTCCTCCTCATCCTCCTTCCCCGCTGCCTCCTCCTCATCCTCCTCCTCTTGCTGCTCCTCCTCCTCCTCACGATAATCTTCTCCCGTCGCTCTTTTTCTTCCTCTTCCTGCGAGGAGAGTTCTCACTTGCTCTTCTCCTCCTCTGGCTCATCCATCCTTAATGAACACATATATTTTCTGATTGTGCATCGCTCGAAGGGGCCATCTGGGACGTTCCAAATTTTCCATGACTGCCGTCGGCAAATAAACGGAAAACAACGCAATAGGAAAGGATGGGTCGGTGTCGGATATATGGCGTAAGCGCACCTAGCTTGTCCCCCGCTCGCCGTCGCCCCCCCCCCCCCCCATCCAATGCGGGCTGCCCGCATCCGCTCCTCAGGTCCACATTTCCGCCTCGCCCCCTCCCCCTCTTCCCCCTCGCTTCCACCCTATCCATCTGCGTCCAGGAAGGGGGTTCGATCATGGCCCGTGGCATGTGGGCGGACGAAGAGAGGGGGGCGACAGGGAACGCGTTGGAATAAGAAGAGGGGGTCTTGAAATCCGGGGAGATACCATGGCCCTGGCTATGACGTCGGGACGAAGCTCGATTCATCAACCCCACCGTGTGCGCCCCCGACATCCCTTCCTGGCCCCTCCCACCGCCTCGCCCCTCTGGTCGGACAGCAGAGGGCGGGTTCGCGAATCGGCTCGCGCAGCCGCGCTTCTCAGCGCCAAGAGGCCTCCGCGTTCCGAGGAAGGCGCCCGGCGGCCGGGCCGAAGCCCGCTGCACGCCGCGGAGTCCTCTGGCTTCGCGGGGTGCGGGCCCGGAACACGTAATGAAAGACTTGGCGTTGGCTGGTTTGCCCTGCTCGTCTGCCGCGAAGTTCTGCCGTGTCGTTCTGCCCGCCTCGGAGCGCTGCCACCACCATGGGGGGCGGATGTGCTCCTCCCTCCGTTTCGGCGCCGGGACGAGCATGCGAATGCCCGCGATGGCAAGGAGCACCCACCGCGTCTCAGCACAAGGCAACGCCAAGTTCAAGCTCCGACGAGCATAGCAACGATGCGCTGTTCGTGTGCAATTCCGCTGGCCTCCTGGTGATTTCTTGGGGCCGTTTGGGGGTGGGAGCCTCTTGGCAACTTCTTGGGGGCCCCTGGGGGCCTCTTGGGAGCCTCTTTGGAGCCTCTTGGGGGCCCCTTGGGGGCCTCTTGGGCCGTCTTGGGTGGGGCGCCATTGCGCCGGCTGCCCGGCTGGCCCCTGAGGAGGCCGTCTTGGGGGGCCTCTCGGGGCCGCCTTGTGGCTCTCTTGCGGTCCTCTTGGGCCGTCTTGGGGGCCCTTTTGGACCGTCTTGGGGGCCTCTTTGGGTCGTCTCGGGCCCCCCTTGGGGGCCTCAGGGGGCCGTCTGTGCACCTGGAACCCGTACCGCACATGGCATGCGCGGCGCTCCTGAGCAATATGCTGAGACTCCCTCGGGTGATACTTCTGTGTTGGGAGGGCGGGTGGCAGTGAGCGAGACGGCTTGCGGGCGAAGGAGGGGCCTCGGCCTATCCCCACCCACCTTCCCAACGTTGCCCGACCCGGAGGACAGCCTTGGTGCGTCGATCTGGTCGATCTGCGTCGGCGACCCCTTCCAGGAACCCGTCGCCCCGACCACGAACCCGACCTCCCCTCCCTCCCCTCCCTCATGCCAGAAAGATCGTTCCCATACTATTTTCTCACCATTTTTGAACATTCCTCCTGCAGAGGGACACGCCCGACTTAACGCTACCTTTCCCCTCCCCCCCCCCCCTCTGGGCGCGGGCCGCCCGCGCCTGCTTCTCCAGGTCGGCGTTGCGGCGCGCCTCCTGCCGCGGCGCGGCCCCCACCCCCTTTGGCCGAGAGGCGCCCGCGGCGCCCCCGCTGGGGGGGGGGGGGCGCCCGCGCACCCTGCGGTGCCGGGCCCGCCGGGCGCTACAGCCACGGACGACGACGACGACGACGACGACGACGACGACGACGACGACGACGACGACGACGACGACGAGAGCCCGCTACCCGCCCGCCCGTGGACCTCTGCGGACCCAGACCTCCAGCGATCATGCGTTTTTCCATCCGCGGGCGTTTTTGTTGGGCGTTGCTTCTAAGCAGCGCCCCCCAAACAAAAAACAACACGTATTGCTCGGAAGCGTTGCTGATAGACCAGCACCCCCAAAACGCCTTGCTTGTAGGCAACGCCCGAAAAAGCTTGGCCTATAGCGCTGCTTACAAGCATCCGCCGACCCCGGTTGATTGAGAAGGCCTTACGGCCGTTGCCACCGACCCTGAAAACGACGACGTCGACGACGGGGAGGAGGAGGAGGAGGAGGAGGAGGAGGAGGAGGAGGAGGTGGAGGAGGAGGACGAGGAGGGGGAGGAGGAGGAGAGACGGGGGGGAAGAAACGCGTGCCCCTTCCGTGCCCCTCTGGGGCCCCAGAGGGCCCCTGTAAGGCTCCTCCTCCTTTAGGGCGCACAAGGTACACCTTTCTTCAGACGGTGCAGGTTTTAGATAAGGATGCCTTCGAGAAGGGACCCTCCTCCTTCCTTCCGAGCGCCACTGTGGACAGGTCTCCAAGAGCGAGCAGGTGGCACATACGCCACGGTGCCAACGGCGTCCGCTGTGGTCACTGCCCCCTGTTTCAAGTGAAAAGCGAGGGGGGCGGCCGCACAGGCCCCTCACGCGCTCCGGCCATATAATATCTAGATACAGACACACAGTGGCCCACAGAGAACGGGGTGCCCGCAGACTCCTGAACGACCTTTTCAAAACGCAAGAGAAAGTCAAACCTGGAACTGGACGAACTGTGGCCTCAGACATCGGACCGGCCAGCCACTCAGAAAAGGAGGAGGAGAAGGAGGAGGGGGAGAAGGAGGAGGAGGAGGAGGCAGCGGCAGCGCCGTTACGACAAAATCTGGCATTTCTGGCACCGCCAACGCCGTCGCGACAAAAACTGGCATTTCCGGCACCGCCAGCGCCGTTACGACAAAAAGTTTGGGCTTGGACTGGCACCGGCAACGCCGTCACGACAAGGCCTCAAACGCCCACTCGAAGATCTCCTTGAGCTTATCGATCTTCGCCTGCATCTCTCGAGCCAATGACCCGCTCGCCTCCTGCCCCTGCTTCTCCTTGCCGCCGATGGCGACCACGCAAGCGACCACGGAGCGAAGAACCGGCTTGAGCTCAGGCGAAACGACAATGTGCAGCTTCACAGAGTGCTTGTCGAAGGCCTTGCGGAACTTGCACAAGTAGATCTGGCCAATCAACTGGTCCAGTTTTTCGATGGCACCGTGATGCGCACGAACGGTGGCCAACGCCTCCTTCGGGGCTTGGTACTGCTCGTCGGTCGCGATGGCGTTGACGATCCGGCACCATAACATAATCTGCTGGTGGCCTGCGTTCGACGTGTCCTCCGGCTGCGCCTTGAGCTCCTTGATCCGCTCTTCGTAGCTGTTCATCTCGGTCTGCCCTGCTGCAATTGGGGCGATATCCCTCCTGCATATCACGGTCGTAGGAACAGCGGCACGCAACTCCCGGACGTCGAGGTCAAGCTTGAGAGCCAACTGCGAAACAAGAGTCGAGAAGGAACCCAGGGTCTCGCGGCCGGTGGGCGGCCCAACGTCGGCCACCCACCTCGCCTTGCAACAAGAAGGAATGCGCCAGGGTCCGGGCCCCAAGATGACGCTCCTTTGTGCAATGCTGCCGCCGTCCCCCTATGTATCGTCCACCCACCCAGTTACGGAATGTCCGAACTTTCATACATCTTCGGCCTCCAGGTCCCGTGATTGGGTCTGGGGATGCATGGGAACTGGGTCCAGGGCGGAAAGCCCAGAGAGGAAGCTCAGGCGGACACAATCCGATCGGCAGACGTCGCATGCCAGCTGCACGACGCCTCGGGGAGCCCACCCGCGCTTGGCCCGTGAGGACGCACGAGGGAGGCCTTCGGGCAGCCACGGCACCGGCGCTGCCGCTGGCCACCTCCTCGAGAGCTCTGCAGCCCCGCCGCTTTTGCAGCTCTCGTGGCCGGAAAAGGGCGGAGGGCGCGTGCCCTCCGCAGGGCCGGCTCTCGCCCGAGGATGGCAGGCCCACGGGGCGCTCATGGTCAGTCCAGGGGGGGGGGCGCCTCTGCCGCCGTGGAGGCGCGTGCCGACGGGCTCCTCCCGGCGGCATCGTCTCATCGATCGATCCTTTGCCCCTCGCGAGCTCGGCCGCCCGTGCGGCGCCCCCCAGGGGATCTTCAGGGGATCCGGCGAACATTGTGAGAGATATTTGGGTCGGTCAGGCGAACATTGTGAGAGATATTTGACCATTCGTTTTGAGAGCGCGTGTTTCTCGCACCCGTAGTGGGTTATGCCGCGTCTGCCTGTGAGATTCCCAGGTCCGTAGCTGCAGTAGTACACCCTGCGAAATGCTCAAGAAATCATGGGTTAAGAAATTCACAGTCTCAGAAATTGATTAAAACCCAGAACTTCTATCAAAATCTTGGGATTTACATTGGAAAATTAAGAATAACCGAGATCCTGGACGAAAACTTAGGTTTTCTTAAGCATCGCCTGAGGTGTACTATCAAATCACTTGGCGGGACCGTCGGCTGTCGGGGCGGAGGGGCGGGGGAGGGCGGGGGGGGGGGAGGGGGACGGCGGAGGGGCGTGGAACGCACGGGGTGGAGTGATGCTGCCTCGGTGGCTGCAGAGAGCGGGGCAGAGGAGGGGTGAGGAGGAGGGGGGGGAGAGGGGGAGGAGGAGGAGGAGGAGGAGGAGGAGGAGGAGGAGGAGGAGGAGGAGGAGGAGGAGGAGGAGGAGGAGGAGATAGGATGTGGGAACAAAAAGGAATTGGAGAAGGGGCCAGGGGAGCAGGAGGCGGGGGAGGAAAAGCCAGTGGCTCTGCTCAGAGGGCCCCCCTGAGGCACAGCAGAGCGGGGTGGGGTGGGGAGGGGATGTGTGCGTCAGGGCGATGGGGGAGGCAGGTGGCCAGGGGAGGAGCCGAGTCAGAGCGGGCGGAAGGGCGAGGGAGGAGCGGAAGATGCGAGGTCGCCCGGTCCGCGCGACGCAGCGGTGCGACGCCAGAGCCGCTGCAAATCACGAGCCGGTCGAAGATGCGTCGCCGACGTGTCGTCGGCGCAGCGTCGCCGATGCGTCATCTTTCCCACCCCTTCCCCCGTCCTCCGCTGGCGAGGGGCAACGTTGGCGGGCGACCAGCTCAGGGGAAACACACCGAGCGTGAATCGGCGACATATCGCAGTAGATCGGCGATTTTTTGTTATCACGCTCGATCAGCGATGGCCCCCGACTGTGAATACGCACTCCCTTGGGCGGGGCGGGCCATCGGGCCCAGATCGACGGATCGCTGGGCGATAGTGGGACGATGCGGCTTCGCCTGCGGCTGACCCCCCTAACGTTGCCCCTGATCTAGTCGTCAGGGGGACGGGCAAAAACGGCGTTCGCGCTCCGTTCGCCGTCGCGTCAACACTCGCATTCGACCTGGCTGGATTTAGCACTGAAGCTCTGCCCACTGCTCGGCGTCGAAGCCACGGGTCACTTTGGCGGACAACCCAACGGACGGAACCACGGGACGCCGCGGAATGGAGGCCGCCCAAATGGGGCCAGAACGAATGGGGCCCGAGGGTCGCACCGCAACCCGGATGCATCCCACGAATTGTGTTGCGCCCGTTGTACTTGAGGACCACATCGCAAAAGTAGTGTGGAGCGCCTGGGAAAATATCGAAATATCTGCCCGAAACGCTGGCGAAGTGTCGAGCGAGTGTCGCCTCCTCCCAAGGCCTGACACACGAAAGCTTCCCCGGGGGTGTCGCGCTTCAGGGCCCTCCAGGCCCAGGCACGTGACATTTTTCTCGTGCTCGCAGTTCGCTTTGGTGATCTACGGCAGGCTGGAGCATCATACTCAGCATCGACACTCACGACGGAGAACACCCGGCCCGGGATCGCGCCGCATCGCCAACGCATCGGCGATGCGGCACGGTCCTGCGACCACCGGACAGAGGAGCAGGTGGCAAACGCGCGAGGCCCAGTGCAGGCGGCCGGGCAGCAGCATCACCTGCCCCAGATCGGCCCCCCAGAACTGCGGCGTCGCGATGTCCCCGGCATCCTAAGTGGGGTTCTTGGTTTCCCGGGACACCCCGCGCAGTACTTCTACACTTGCACAATATGAATACTACCCTCCTCTCTCCCCTGGTGACGTCTGGGAATTGTTCGGCCCCCCTCCGCGTGGTTGTTGTGTACACAGGATTCCTGGGAGTAGGGTTTTCGCTTGGGTTTTTTTAATGCTCTCGCTGAGGCCCTGGCTTCATTTTCGGGCCACCGCTCGTTTCGAATCGTGCTCCCGTTCCGCTCGTTCCGAATCGTGTTCCCGCTGCAACGTTGGCGTCATTATTTCCAGCACCATGCCACGGCATGGTTTTCTGTCCTTTCAAATCGGCCCCAAAATCTGAAGGATTGCCCCCCGAAACAACCATCGAAAGTGATTACACATTCGGTGTCGATTCGTTGACTTTCCTGGGTCGCAGAAGCCCCCCCCCACTTTGGGGCGTCAGCACGCCATGCTATGATGTCAGGCTACGCCGTGACTTCAACACCATTATATGCCATGTACTGCTACGTATGTCCTGCTGCGACATCCGGCTGCGCATATGAAGAGGAGATCTACGCCGTGGTAAGGGAAGGGAGGGAGGGGTAGGACGTCAGATATGACGTGAGCGCACATAGCTTGCCTCCTCGCCCTCTCCTCTTTCCCCTTCGCACAATCACTCACTCGATCACTCAGAAGCCGTCACCATCATAACAGCACCAGCCTCCTCACCATCATCATCCACTCAAAAATTCACACCATCATAATCAGTCACACACTCAACACACACGATTAATCTCTCACGTACTGAATTCATCATCGGCATCACCATAACCATGATCAAACTATCGCTCATGATCACCATCTCAACATCATCATCATCACCTTCACATCATCATCATCATCATCATCCTCATAATCGTCGTCATCATTGCACGCAGACGCACACGGTCACCTAAGGGCTCTCAAACGGGAACCCCGTCTGCAAGTGAATTGCGAGAAAGACTCAGGCGGAAGACCCCTCCCCATGGGGCCAACCAATCAAGTTACTAATCCGAGCGGGTCATCCGAATCCTGTCAGTCGCCACTTTCGGGTCCCGGAGCCTTAGATCTGAATGCGGTCGCGTGCGGGAGCCTCGCCCGTGAGTAGAATGCGAGGAAGTCTCGGGCGGGAGCCCCCTCCTATGGTGCCCGCGGGTCGTCTGGATCTTGTCACTGTGATTACTTTCGGGCCCCTGAGCCTTAAATCTTGAGGATTTCTCGCGCGGGAGCCGTGTCCATGAGTAAAGCGCGAGGAAGTCTCAGGCGGCAGCCCCCTCCCTGTGGGGCCTGCAGATCATATTACTAATCTGAGCGGGGCATCCAGATCTTGTAACTGTCGTCACTTTCGGGCCTGCGACAGGGCGAGGAAGAGAATGTGTCAGAGAAGACAGAAAGAGCGCCTCACCAATCACGAGGACGACGATGAGGGTTACTTCCAGATTAGCCGAAAGGATTATCATGCGGGGTCCCCTACCGTCGGAATATGTACTTCTCTCAGCGCGAACCCCCGAAGTCTGGACTCCTTCCCCAGGACCGGCTTTTCACTCCAGGCCGTTTCTGTACGGTCCTGGGGACAGGTGGGGGCCCCGAGGGGCCGAAAACGACTGGGATCCGACGGCGTGAAAAAAACCTGCGCAACTTTCTAGCTGGATCGTTCTGTGAGGGTCCGGAAGCCGGGGTGAAGATCCCTGGAGGCCGAAACTGCCCCTCCTTATAAAGAAACAACAAGCGACATAAACATACAAACTTTCGGAGGTCCGCGCCAATTTTTGGGATCGACGCTGGACCCCTCTCCCCGGCGCGCGGAGCGCGCCAGGGGCGGCGCCGAAGGCGCCGCCAGGGGGCTCCACCTCCGATTGAAGAATCCGCGGGGACCCTCGAACACTTATGTCCATGTCACCGTTTGTTCCCCAACCCCTCCTCCCCATCCAACAGCAAGAACAAAATACCCCCCGGGCGAATTCTGTCACGACGCCGTGAGGTCCAGGCCCCCGCGCGGCGGGGTCCTCCGCCCGCGCGGCGTCGTCCCGCACCCTGGCGGCCTTGAGCGCGCTCACCTCCTGCCGGGGCCGGGCTCGGGGGATTTGCGCAGCCAGCGGGCGCGGGCCCTCGTTCTCCTTCCCTGATGCACGGATGCGCTCCCTGGTTCAAGGCTCAAGCTGAGCACGAGAATGAAGAAAATATCTGGAGGAGGGCTGAGGGAGCACCAGGGAGCAGGAGGAAAGCCAGGAGGGGGAGGGAAAAGGAGCAAACGGAGATGCAGTGTAGGCCAGTCCACAAGAAACCTTCCACAAGAAACCCAACCCTGAGACCCCAGGACGTCCATTGATTTTTGGTGGGAACGCTACGCTTTCCATAGCAAAACCATCGAAACCCAATAAACCCAGGGCCCCCTGGAGGTAAGCAGGGTGTTTCTTGGCCTGGGCCTGCACTGTAGGTGTTTCCGAAATCCCCTGCCGAACATGCTCGGCCCTGGCACTCAGAGGTTCTCAGCCGCTGAGCACGCCAGCCAAACAAGCATCCACTACCCGCCCACGATCTCTGCCGTGTGGGGCCGAAGTCCGAGTGCAATCCTGGCACGCGCCGTCGTCCCGCACCCCCGCCGAGCCCAAACGCTACTCCTCTCCAGACGCTCCGCGCTACCGTTAGGAGGTGCAGGGGAAGGACGCAGGGCGAGCGAGCGAGCTGGCGCAGGCGCGGGTCGCAGACTGGCGCCAGGCTACGGAAGGGAAGACGGCAGGATGGGCAGAGACGTGCCAACCCTTCCGCCAGTTGAAGGGGAACTGGGACACACACATAAATACACACAAATAAAAAGATTCCCCATATTTTCTCATATTTTCTGGGTTTTTGCTTTCCCCCCCACTTCCCATATTTTCCCATATTTTCTGGGAATCGCCGATTAATTGTGTCTGTGCGTTTCTTGCCCTCCTGAAGAATAGGCATCCGCACGAGGACGCCCAGGCCCTTCCGCCGCGCGCACCTCCCGAGGGCGCCGTGCGGGCGGCGCTGTGCTCCGGGCGGCCGCGGCTGCGGGCGCCGGGCAAGACAGGCAAGCCACAGGAGGGAGGGGGATGATCAGCCACCCGCTTCTGCTCAACTGCTCTTAGCCACGGGGCGCTCCGAACACCGAACAGAAAAGTACGGCACGCTCCGCGGGCCCGCGCGGACCCTCACGGCCAGGGCCCCGGCAGGCCGCAGGGAGCCGCACGAAGGGTAGTCGGCGCTTCTGCAGGCTGGTTGTGCCACTCCTGTGAGCAGGCGCCTTCCCTCCCCCTCTCTAATTGTCTCCTCCTGCCCCTTTCCGAAAGCCTGCTCGCGCTGCTAGCGGGGGCGAGAGAGAGGAGGGGCAGGAGGCCCTCAGCAACTGGGCAAGACAACCCAGAGAGTCCCACATATATGTATACAGATATATCTATATCTATATATATATATATACACAACACAAACACGCCACCACGCTCGCACCCCAATACCCGAAACGACCCCAACGCTTCGCTGTTGAGGAAGGTACTCAGTGAGCGCGTGGTCGCTCAGCCTCACGCCGGGGTCCACGATTGGTCTCATCAGGTATCGAACTCCGACAACTTCTTGCGAAAGGCGATTGCTAGCTGTTTGAAGGCTTTCCCTTGCTCAGCCCGGTTCTGGAGGAATCCCTCGATCTCGATGCGGTCGGGATAGCTTAAGTCCTTCTTAGAAAGGGTCCCCGTACGAGAGCGCATGAGGATGAACTCGATGATCAGGAGAGTGGCAAAGACCTTCCCGAGGCTCTCGCACTCCTGGACAGTCTTTGCAGGAAGGAGGCTGGGCAGGGAACGCGGGCCCGTGCCATTGGCCCTTGCCCATGGACGCCCCTGCACCCAAGGCTTCGCAGGAGGCGTGCTGGGCAGAGAGGGTGAGGAACCTGGCCCCCGCCTCCCCCCGCCCATGGGTGTCCTTGCGCCCTCGGCGCCACCTGGCTCAAACGTCGCGGCCAGGTCCTCCATGGCTTGTGCGTCCTTCTCTGTAGTCGTCGACCCTGGCAACTCAGACTCATCGCTCACCGAGGCTGTGTCGGCCCAGTCCTGTGGCCAGAATCAGAGTCCTCACCGACCATGTCGAGGACCCCACCGACTCTGGAAACTTCTCCGTGCCTGCGGCGAAGCTGTTCTGCGCATCAGTCAACATGCCCGCAGAGATGGTGAACTCCTGGTTTCCTTCCGTCATCGTGTCCTCCTGGGCTCGGGGGTGGGTCCCCGAAGGCTGCAAGTCATTGATGTCTTTCTTGAGCTGGTGGATCCCCGAACGGGGAGCCAGGAAGGCATCAAGAGTGATGGACCGCGGTGCCGGCGGTGGGACAGCGTCGCAACTGCCCTGCTGCGGCGGCCGGCACTGCTCGCTCATGTCGAGAAACTCCTGGACATTGACGGCTCCGTCTGTGATGGGCATCGCCACAGTCTTGATCTGCGATTAGCTGGAGTCCGAGATATCCCCCGCGCGGATGGGAAACGCCCTGGTCGAAACTTCAGGCATGTCTGCAGCCATCCCACTTCTGCTGGCCAGCTGGCGCTCTGGACTCGCAACCAGCCTGCCCACGAGCGCGAACACCTCCTTAGTGTAGCGCTGCTACTTCGGCACGCTGAGGTGTCGTAAGTAGTGGCATGCGATATGGACGTTGCCCAACTTTCTGAGGATGCCTTCAGCTGTTTTGAATTTTGAAGCCTTATCTCTGGAGCGATCCCGTTGTTGAAGGGCCATGTGACGCAAATGCCGCGAAGCCTGCTGGATTCCCTCGAACTCCTGATTCGTCTGCTCCGAAACGCCTCTCAGAAGTTCGGTACGGAGACCCGCGAGCAGCTGCAGCAGGGAAAGAGAATCCATGACGTGAGCACTCAGCCCTGCGAGAGATACGCGGTAAGCGGTTGAAGGGACGCAGATGGGGCGTTTGGGACGCCCAAATGGCTACGAATACGTCCTCCCCTCCTCTTCTTCCACCTCCTCCTTCTCCTCCTCCTCTTTCTCCTCCTCCTCCCTCCACTCCTCTGGCCGTCTGCCACTTGCCTCGAGCTGGCAGCACAGCGGAGACGCAGAGGAGAAGCGTTGTGCGGATGATTGCCCTGGGCACTGCTCGTTCTCCTCGGACGCGACCCCTCGGCTCGGTCAGATGGCATCGGGGTGTGTCAGACAGACGCTTCCACGCTCCCCCCCCCCTGGCGGCGCACGGCGAAACACTGAGGAAATTCTCAGGTGGAGCTGTGTGCAGCCCGAGGAGGGAGACAGGGATGCGAGGAGGACAGGAAGGCGGAGGGAGGACAACTCCTCAAATAGGGGTCTGACGAGGGGGAAGAAGGGGCACCCTAGCCGCGGAAACCACGCTTCCCTTCCTCCTTTTCCTGCTCCTCTTCCTCCTGCTCCTCGTCGTCGTCGTCGTTTTCCTCCTCCTCCTCCTCCTCCTCCTCCTCCTCCTCCTCTTCCTCCTCTTCCTCCTGCTACTCCTCGTCCTTGTCCTCGTCCTCGCCCTCCTCCTCCTCCTCCTCCTCCTCCTACTCCTTGTTTTGCCCTGCTATTCCTCCTTCTCTCTGGCTGGTATCCCGAGGCCGCGGCAACTCATGTTTCTGCCGTGCAGGGTCATCGCCGACGGACGGCCCTCCTGTACTGACCCCAGTCGAGGTCAGCCGCGGCCCCGCGCGTGGTGCGCCGCGCCTCCCCGTGGGCATTATGTCGCGTAGCCTCCAACCCTCTAGTCCCCCTCCCTCCTCCCCTCCCTCATCAGAGGAAGGAGGTCCGCAATTGCGTACTTACACATACAATGTCGGAGGTCCACGCGGACTGTTTGGATCGGCGCTGGACCTCCCTGGCGACGCCTCCCGCGCCCCCGGCGCTTCGCGCGCTAGGGAGGGGCGTCCAGCGCCTCTCCAAGAAATCCGCGCTTGCGCAATTCTTCCCTCTTCGGCTCATCCACCACCTCCTCCTTCGTGGGCGTCTGCCTGCTGCAATGATAGCACGAGGAATCTGGTAGGTCTGCCGTGATTGCAATTGCAAATGCCGCATTTTGCTGGCATTCCGTCCCAGGGCCTGCCCTGGCGCTTCCCGTTGGACAATTCCAGGGGAGACACCCCACTTGAGACCTGACAGCGCGGGCAACGATGGCCATTCCTTCGCACGCCGATCCAATCTCTGCTCACGTGGGCCAACCATCCCGGAGCCTGGACAAACAGTGCGACACCGCGGCGCGCAGGAGAAAGAGGAGGAGGAGGAGGAACTCGAGGACGAGGAGGAGGACGAGGACGAGGAGGAGGATGAGGAGGAGGAGGAGGAGGAGGAGGGGGATGACGCCCTGGATCCCATTATACTGGTGTCGCGCTTGCATGTCCGCCTCCTTCCGCCCACCTTTCCCGCCCACCTTCCGCTGGCGGACCCGCCCTTCCGCTCGGCCGCCGAAGCCTTCGTCCCTGGCCTGCCGCCGCCGCCCGCCGAAGGCGAGGCGCGCCAAAGGCGAGGCCATTCCTGGTGGGCTTGATTTCCACCACCGTCACTAGCATACGTAGAAGGGGGAGGGGGTCCTCCTCCTCCTCCTCCTCCTCCTCCTCCTCCTCCTCCTCCTCCTCCTCCTCCTCCTCCTCCCTCCTCCCCTCCTCCTCCCTCCTCCTCCTCCTCCTCCTCCTCCTCCTCCTCCTCCTCCTCCTCCTCCTCCATTTCTGAGCAAGCCACTGGGCGCGCCACCCGTGGCGCCAGGAGCCCGCGTCGCCGCGGGCACACACGGGCAGGCGCCTCGTCTGCCCTCCAGAAAGCCCTTGAAATCCAGGGAGGACAGCGAGGCGAGAAACAATACAAATTGACGCTCGACCAGGTCATTGAAGCCCCAGAGGAGGAGCGCCTGGAATGAGGTCCTGAAGGCCTGGGGGAACGAGAGGACCTGGTCGAGCGTGAACGGCGGCCTCCACGACGCCGCGGAGGCCCCCCTGCAAGTAGAGGCGGCCGACAGGCCGACACCAGGCGAGGTGGAGCAAGGAGCAGCAAAAATGATGGTGGAGACAGAGGGGGGGGGCTGGACAGATGCATGGGGGCGGGCGCGAGGGGAGCCCATTGCGCCAAGCTCATTCGCTCCGCCGCCGCACCGCCACCTCTAGCTCGCCTCGCGCACCTAACAGGCCAAGAGAGGCCCGCAGCAACAACGGCGCGCAAAGCAAGCAGACATCATCATCACATTACATCCGAATCTCCCAGCCTCCCACCCGCCAGTGTCATCCTTAGGACTGCAGGGCAAGGGGCGTGCGCCTCCTGCGATCAGCTAGGGCCTGCACAGGGACGCTAGCCTCAACAAAGGCCTGTGCGAGCATGCGGGAGAGGCCATGATCAGGGGGGCGTAAGACCCGGGTACAGGGGACTCGGAAATCCCGGACGAGGTCGTCAAACAAATGACGAGGCCGAGCCTGCATTTTGACGAGGCCTCCCGCTGCAGACATCCCACGAAACTCCTACTCGTCAAAATCCGAGTCGCGGCCGTCAGAAAACGATGGCGCACCCGAGTCCTGGCAAACCCGGGTCTTGCGCTCCCCCGACATGAGGCCAAGCCTTCAGATGACCAGCTGCAGCGTGCGCTCGGCGCATGCAGCGGCATCTCTCTGGATCCAAATTGAAAACCGTGTGCGTGTAGACCGGCGCCGCGGGGCACAATCTGTCTGCCCCCAGCATGCAAAGGTCCAGCCGCGTGACCTTGAGAGCACTACCAACCAAACTGCCAATATCGGGCACAACCTCGCATATCTTCGTAAAGTCATCGTAGGGCAGAACCAAACACACCGCTACTCTGGTGATGTGAGCTGCCTCCATCAGCGACCACGATGCTCTGAACCGGCTTTTTCTGCAAGAGGCCGCCGCCGAGAATGTGCACCAAGTGCGGGCATGCCCCACGGACGCAGATCTGCCCTCAAAGGCTTGCTCTGCCCACTTCCTTCATCAAAACATTGCCAGGTTAACGTAGCCGGTGAAAGGATGAGTCCAGCCACTCCCCCTTTAGACATATCATTCAGAATCTCCGGTATTTGACTGTCACCCACTATCGTCAGACTGCCTTCGGCACCAAGGAAAGGAACGCGAATAGGTTCAAAATGCTGACTCGTAATGCGGTTGGCCCATTCTAAAACATCAGATGCTTTCAAATATCCAAGGAAAACGCGGTGAAGTTGTTGCCGCCCTGGTGCCCCGCGTAGCCGTTGCAGCTGTGGTTCTTCACGATGGACAGGTAGCTCCACTGCTGGTGGTGCTGGCGGGATGTGCGCTGTGCCACGCCTACCCCAGTGTTGTGCTCGCTTCGCATGCTGAAAGGCCCGACGATAGTTGTGGCCCTTCTGTATCTCCGTCTCCAGAAAGCCGCCTTGCTCAATCAAATAGCGCAAGCAGGTGTGGCCAGGCCTGCGAAGATGACGGGGGGAGGTTCGGTCGATCGGAAAGAATGCCGCACGCTCCGCACTGCGTGCCTCTAACCACCCTCTGCGCATCATCGATTGGCTGGTGATCAAGCTGATGTCTCCTCCATGCAGGAACTGAAGTAGTCGTCCATCCGCAAGCGTAGCACATGAACTTCGCGATCATAGGTTGCTGGTGCTGGCCGCCCCCTCGTACTCTGAGGAGCTGCTTCTGTCAATGTTCGACCTGCGTGGATTCCAGGATCGCCGATGCCGCGAGGCCCCAAACTCTCTTGATTGCGTTCCTGAGGCCCTTAGAATCGTTTTGCGCACAAAGAAACCACTGTCGTAATATCCTCTGATGTCGGGCATCATCCGTACCGGATGTTGTCATCCACGCAAAATCTTGCTTGCGTAAAAGCGTCCGCGAGCCTGGGATCGGCGCTGCCTGGTCGACCAGGACGCGCAACGCAGCGGGCGCCCCCACAAGACACGAACTGAAGTGCATAAACCTGCGCTTGCGAAGTAGCAATTCCAATGGAACTCGTTTGGCCGAACACAGGATGCCCACGTCTGTATGAAAGACCTCCGTATCACGATGATATTGACGACCTTGAACGACTCTGTAAGCTTGGACCCTCGCTGCTTCCAGCTTGTGTAGGAGTGCCTGGGGTATGGCCTCCCAGACTTCTACAAGGTAGAACAGATGGACATTGGCCATAATGTCCACTAAATTGGTTCGAACAGGTCGTGTCATGCCATTGAAACGCTTGACACCCTTCTGCTTGGGGCCAGCGCCACCCGATGCTTCTGTATCGCTCGCGCAGCCCGACAGCCAAGAGTGCCAAAAATGTCCAACATGGCGCCTATGCACATGTACTCACGAACGGCATGCACCTTGACCGTCCATACCTAAGACACTATCACTAGATCATGGCTGTCCTCCAGCTTTTGCCTCAGTTCAAGGGAGTGTTGAGGTCCTGGGATGGTAAATATACTGGACTTGGCACGCTTGTAGCTGTGTGTAAACCCATGCGTCAG